AGGCCATTGTCCCCAGCAGCAGGGAGCAGGCCCAGCCCTGCTGTGGGATGAGACAGCAGTCTGGCAGCAAGTGTCTGACTTCTCCCCACAACAAACCCACTGGGATAGAAAGAACACAAAGCTCAGCTGTGCTTAGACGGGAAACCTTTCTAGCGATTTTACTAAAGAACCAAAGCAAAAGGCCATAACACAGTCGTTGCTTCTTCACACCCTTCACCTCCCTTGCCCTGAAATTCCACCTCCCAAGCCTCTCTCCACAGACAGAACTTTGAATTCATGTCTGTCCTCTGAATAAAGCCACCTCCCTCCCTTTATTCAGTCACCCTGCTTTCCCTTCCTTACATCGAAGCCCATTTGGGGCCTTGTGTCCTACAGTAAACCACCTTTATCTGCTTGCTAAGCTCCACTTTCCCTCTATTCTGGAGTTCTCCACAATTTCTTATTTTTATTTATTCTAGTTCTTCCACCCTTCTCTACAAGTTCTCATGCCCACTGTCCCGTCCATGACACCTTCTATATCTCTGCTGCATTTGATGATTTACTGAAATAGCCCACAAAATTCACAAGCGATACTCATAGAATGATGGGGTTTACTAGGGCGATAACAGGCTACAGTCGGGGATCAGGAAAACTTAAGGTATCTACTGAGTGAAGCTCCTTCTGTTTCCCAGACAAGCCTAGCCTATTGATATCTCCTTTGATATTGTGCAACATAGGCTTCTTTCTGTTCCCTATATCTGGATTCCTATCTCCTTGTTTTTACCATTCTTTAAGGAACATTAAGCTCCGAGTTGTACTTACACTCCTTGGTCTGTCACTACAGAGCCATCTCACATCAGTGTTTTTGGTTTCCCTCCCCACTCTCCCTCACGTGTGACCCTTGATACATTATTATGATTTTCTTTTTTATTTACAGGGTTTTCTTTCTTTTTAAAAAAATAATTTTATTAGGGGCTCATACAAATTATTATGATTTTCATATCTTGCACTGACCACTGTCTCCCTTTACCCACATTTTTGTCATTTTTCCCCCTGAGGATTGGGTGTTATACATCGATCATTGTGATTGGTTCTCCCTTCCTCATTGATCATTGTGATTGGTTCTCCCATCCTCATCCCACCTTCCCCCTACCCTCCTGGTATTGCTACTCCTATTTTTGTGCCTGACGGGTTTATCTGACCAGGAGTCCATGTGTCGTGAGCTCCTATCTGTACCAGTGTACATGCTCTGGTCTAGCCAGAAGTGAAAGGCAGGACTGGGGTCATGATAGTGGGTGTGTGTGTGTGTGTGTGTGTGTGTGTGTGTGTGTGTGTGTAAGCCTCAAAGAACCAGAGGAATATTGTGTTTCATCAGTGCTATACTGTGCCCTGGTTGACTCACCCCTTCCTTGTGACCCTTCTGTGAGAGGATGCCCCATTGCCTACAGATGGGTTTGGGGTCTCTGCTCCGACCCCCCTCCTTCTCAACAGTATGTTTTTTTGTTTGTTTTGGATCTTCTGATGCCTGTTACCTGATCCATCGACACTTTTTATGATCGCACAGGCTGGTGTGCTTCTTCCATGTGGGCTTGTTGCTTCTACATGAGTGTTTTGAAATCCCTCATATTAACTACTCAGGATGAAGTATTCTTTACCCTCTTCTTTTATAGAAACCCGGGAAATTGATGCTCATCTGCCTCAGCTCCTGCAAAATGAATTCAGGGTGAACAGAGTGACGCCATGCCTTGAGCATAATGCAAGGGAAGGTAGTCTTTCTCAGTGCGGAAGCCATTTTCCCGAACAGCAAAATCACAATGTGTTTGACTCACATGCAAAGTCTGTGCAATCAAATATCACTTCAATCAGCCAGAGTAGCCGCTGTGAAGTGAAGGACTTTGGTGAATTCACTGGAGGAGTAAAAAATTTTCTCCATGCTAATCAGGAGCAGTTTCATAAAGAAATAAATATCATCAATGCCGCTGACAGGAAATCCCGTAACACCAGATGTGAACTCATGAAGCAGGAGAGCAGTCACAAAATAAAGAAACCACATGTATGCAGTGAATGTGGGAAAGGCTTCACCAGGAAGTGTTGGCTCATTAGTCATGAGATCATTCACACAGAAGAGAAGCCCCATAGTTATAATCTATGTGGGGAAGCCTTCTCCAGACCACCGGAGCTCGCCCAACATCAGAGAACACACAGAGGGAAGAGATCTTTTGAATGCACTGGACGTGGCAAAGCGCTTCTCACAACATTTCAACTTACTGCCCATCAAAAAAGTCACGTAGGCGTGAAAAGCTTTAAATGCAGTGAGTGTGCAAAAGTCTTTCTACATAAAGATAATCTCATTATTCATCAGCAAATTCACACGGACGACAAACCCTACAAATGCGAGAAGTGTGGGAAAGGCTTTATGCGGAAAGGAAATTTCCGTGTTCATCAGCGTGTTCATGCTGGCGAAAAACCCTACAGATGCAAGGAATGTGGAAAAGATTTCGTAAAGGAGGAAGATTTCTTTATTCACCAACGAACTCATACTGGAGAGCAACCCTATACATGTAGTGGATGTGGAAAAGGTTTCATCCGGAAGGGACACCTCGTTATTCATCAGCAAATTCACAGTGGAGAGAAACCATATCTGTGTACTGACTGTGGAAAGGGCTTCATCCAGAAGGAAGATCTCCTTGTTCATCAGCGAATTCATACTGGAGAGAAGCCCTACATATGCACTGAATGTGGTAATGGCCACATCACCCAGAGAGACCACATTATTCATCAGCGAACTCATAGTGGAGACAAACTCTATTTATGTAGTGAGTGTGGAAAAGCCTTTACTAGAAAAGGGAATCTCACTATGCATCAGCGAATTCATACTGGAGAGAAGCCCTACAAATGCAGTGAATGTGGAAAAAGCTTCATTCAGAAGGGAAATCTCATTGTTCATCAGCGAATTCACAGTGGAGGAAAACCCCACGCATGCGGTGAACGGTGAATGTGAAAAAGGCTTTAACCAGAAAGGAAGCCTCATTGCTCATCGGCGAACCTACACTGGAGAGAAACCCTGTGTATGTGGTGAATGTGGTAAAGGCTTCTGAAGAAAGTCACACCTCCTAGCACACCAGAGATTACACAATGAGAATACTTACTTGGGATGCAGTATCTGGGGACAATCTCATTCTCAGAAGTCAAGTTTTATTGGACATCAAAAAATTCATGAAGGTGAAAGACCCAATGTAGCGAATGTGGGAAAACCTTCTCCATGAAGCAAACACTCATTGTGCATCCAAGATTTCATGAAGGCGAGGAACTGTATGGGTGCAGTGGGAGTGGAAAAGAATTTTCTTACATTTGTAGCCTTGTTTCACAAAATACCGATGAGAAAGAAATGTGTAGATTTAAGCACAGTGGAAGAATCTCCCAAACCAGTGATCTCATGTAGGAGAAAAACCTTTTGAATACACTATGTACAAACCCAAGATGCTGCTTGCTACCCATGGCAAACAACTATACACTTAGAGGTCAAAGAAAGCAGGTCAGAGGTTATTCTCTGTAAGGGTATCAGCCAACTAGAGCAATCAGACTGTGTTGTCTGTCCCACTCTAAGTAGGGCCTACTCCCTTCTGATCAGGATCGCAGGAGAGCCCAGGGAGGTCAAACCCAGTCAAGGGTGACCAAAGTTAGGTTGCCATATTGAGTCTAGGGTCCACCCATCTTATCATATGTATACCCCTAGTCCCTCCCCTTCCTATTACTTATATGCCCCTAGCCCATCCCCTGCCTGTCACGCTTATGCCTATTATACAGCCCCTTCCTGTGATGTGTGTGGTTGTGCCTTGGCCAGAAATAAACTCCATTGCCCTCTCTGCCCCTGCTGTGTGTGGACCAGGCTGGTGAGATCATGGCCGTCCAGGAGGTGAGCAAGCTACCATGAAATGTGTCTGACTCTGTCATTTTACTCTGTCTCCTATCTCTATTATTCTCTATGACTTTACTATGATCTTTATCTGTCTAACCAGACAATTGCCCTTATTGAGCCTGTGATAGTGGGGGGGTTGGTTTCCCCCACACCTTGCTAGGTTATGGTAGTGTTTAGATTTGAAAGTTGAAAACGGTTTTAAAAGCAACATTGGAATTCACTTTTCAGGTGCAGGAATCACATGGGACTAGTGCCTACCTACCCCATGGACAGGACGCACAATGTGCAAGATGTGTCGTATTTTGTGTAGCGGAAAGGTGTTTTCTGAGAGAATTCTGTTATTTCCATAATTTCCCCAAAAAGTTACATGGGAGAGTAGTGGTTTACATTGTGTTGTACTTTTTAGCACACATTTATTTACAAAGAGAATGAATGAACTAATCCAAGAATATTCGTTCATTGAAATTAATGAACAATTGGAAGGTAGCTTAATGAACAGGCTTGTCTTCCAGAAACTTAATTCTCCCTATGCGATACTCAAGGGCTCAACATAGAGGAAACCAGCCTCTAACAACCATAGAGTCAGTAGGTGCAATTGTACAGTGATGCTATATAAAGATCATAGTAAAGTCATAGAGGATAGGAAAGATCAGAGAGAGAATAAAGGATCGGACACATTTTATGGTAGCATGCTCACCTCAGCCCCTCTTGATGGTCCAAGTGGAACTGGGACCTTTACTATCTTGGAATTAAATTTTTTTGGTTATTATTTTATTGGCGGCTCTTACAGTTCTTATCACAATCCATACATATATCCATTGTGTTAAGCACATTGTACATTTCTTGCCATCATCATTTTCAAAACACTTGCTTTCTACTTGAGCCCATGGAATCCGCTCATTTTTCCCCTCCGTCTCCCATCCCCCTCCCTCATGAACCCTTGATAATTTATAAATTATAATTTTTTTCATGTCTTACACTGCTGTCTCCCTTCACCCACTTTTCTGTTCATCCACTTGGGAGGGGGTTATATATCAATCACTGTGATTGGTTCTCCCTTTCTCCCCCCACCTTCCCTTATTCTCCCAGGATCTCACTACTCTCATTATTGGTACTGAGGAGTTTATCTGTTCTAGATTCCCTGTGTTTCCAACTCTTATCTGTACCAGTGTATAAGTTCTGGTCCAGCCGGACTTGTAAGGTAGAATGGGGATCATGATAGTGTGGGGGGAGGAACTAGAGGAAAGTTGTGTGTTTCGATGGTGCTACACTGCACCCTGACTGGCTCGTCTCTTCCTTGTGACCATTCTGAAAGGAGATGTCCAATTGACTACACATGGGCTTTGTGTCTCCGCTCTGCCCTCCCCCTCATTCACATCGATAGGATTTTTTTGTTTTGCTTCGGGTCTTTGATGCTCGATGCTTGATCATATCGACACCTCATGATCGCACAGGCTGGTGTGCGTCTTCCATCTGGGCTTTGTTGCTTCTCAGCTAGATGGCTGCTTGTTTATCTTCAGGTCTTTAAGACCTCAGATGCTATGTCTTTTGATAGCTGGACACCATCAGCTTTCTTCAGCACATTTGCTTAATCACCCGCTTTGTCTTCAGTGATCCTGTCAGGAAAGGTGAGCATCACAGAGTGCCGGGTTAGTAGAGCAAAGTGTTCTTGCGTTGAGGGAGTACTTGAGTCAAGGTCCAATGTCCATCTGCTCCCTTAATACTTAACAAATATACACATAGATCTATTTCCCTATCGTTTTATATATAAATGTATTTACATATATACATGTCTGTATTTAGACCTCTATAAATGCCCTTTGCTGCCTAGTTCTTTCCTCTTTCCTTTTACTTTCCTCTTGTCCCACTATCATGTTCGGCCTTCATTCGGGTTTTGGTAATTCCTCTTGGCTACATTGCCCTTGGTCAAGCCCCTCCAGGCATCCCATGCCCTCCTTGCCATCGATTTTAGATCACTTGTTCCCTTATTCCTGGGTTTGTTGGCACCTTCCCATGTCCCCCCTGGAACCATCAGTCCCATTGTTTTCTCCTCTGGATTGTTTATCCCGCCTGTCTTATCTAGATAGACAATAATAAGCACAAAAGCAAGGCTAAGTAAAACAAACAAAACAAAAACAAACAAAAAAGCAAGGCTAAGTAAAACATTAACAACAAAAGGAAACCAAAACAAAAAAACTAATAGCAAATAAAAGCCTATAAATAGTTCCAGGTCTGTCTGTTGACCTTTATGAGTGTTTTCCAGTCA